TGACCAAACTAATTCTCTTTACAAGAACAGACGAAAGAAAGATGGAGAAATAGGGAATTTTGCTAATAGCATCGGATGGACAGGTAGACATAGTATTTTTTATATGAAAGATCTAAAAATGAATTAAGATCAGGGTGCACTTTGATGAAAAGACCACGTCCAGTATGGCAAGTGATTTTAGACGGTCATATCTTTCACCATGAGTACCTTCTGGGCACAAATAGAGTGTTTTTATTAAAACAATATGTTTTCTTTCAATTGAAGTACCCATGATGATAAAAATATCAATCAAACAATTCGAAAAATGATGAATAGGGACCCCATGTCAACATTTTTTCTAAATATTGAACCTATTTACTCAAAAGAGGATCTTCTTTTTCTGATTTTTATTGCATGAAACATTATTATCCTGGAAGTCCTGTTAATCAAAGTATTTCGTTTTCAAATGTTGCATTCACGCCATGTGGAACAGTCATACTGGGTCATACAGGGATTAAGTATAAATCTAGAGGCCTGTAAATCGACCGATGTCCTGGCGGGTCCCGTACGGCCATCGGCCGATAGCCTTGCGATACCCGTGCGATGTCTTTCAGATTCAATTGATTGCGGGCGCCGTACGATGCCTGTACTTATGTGACCATACTCACGATTAGATCAAGACATCGGTGAAAAGTCACCGGCGCCCGGTCGATTTAGAAATCGGCCGATGACTACTCATCGGCCGGCGCCCGGCGGCTATGTGACCTAGGCATTATGTGACCCAGGCATTACATTTCTACGCTCGCTGTGGAATTTCTGCGCTCTCATACTTTTGCAGTCACATTTCCCACGGCAGCCGCACGGTGAATTTTATATTTCTGTTGATAAATAATACTTTTTTCATTTTTTTTACATCGGGACAATTTATAAATGTTATTCATAGTGCTAGGATGTAATATCCAATGAAAAGTGATCGTGAAACATTGCAAATAATCATTTCTACGGGGACCTCACCATTGAACAAATATTATAACTCCGAGTTATAATTTCTATGGCGACCCTGCGGCCTGTAAAAGACTGGATACGCCGTACGGAGACCGCAAGGCGAGCGTAGTTTTCCTACGCTCGCCGCAGAAATACACTGATTTAATTGATCTGCGGTCGACGCACGACCTCCGTACGACAAATGTGACTGGGGTGTTTATTAAGAAATAAGAAAAGCTCATATTTCATCAAAAGGTGAAACATTAGCATAATTTCCCGAACTACAGTATTGAAATTAGATAACAAAATAAAGATTTAAAAATTAACAAGCTTTCCCACTCCATCAAATGTAAACTTCCGATTGCCAAAACCTAGAGAGGGGAGTGTCAATTTGTGTAATAACGTACTGTGCTAATCATCATATGTCCCCAATGGGTCAGTGCTCACTCCATGAAATTTATGACTACTTTTTCATAATACAATAAAGATCCCAAGCAAATCATTTGAGAAGTGAATCGTTTACTTTTATACTCTATACATGTATGTACTTACCTTGGCTTGAACACACGAATTTCCTGCTACGGCACTGACCAAATTTCTGATACACTATCCTGTTTTTGGTGATTTATATAGTCCTAGCAATTGCATCAAAAGGAGACCAAGTTGAATGAACAGCTGACCCAAGAATACCTACCATCGTAGGAACATCGCCAAAATCACAAAACCATGACCGGGTCGTCTCAGTTCGCCAAGAATTTAATTTCGTCCTCCTAGCCAAGTCCATCGGATCGTTGAATTAGACAAATCGATTATTGAGAGGACTTCAAAAAACAAATTTTATTTATCAGTACAACAGAAGTAATATTTCTCTTTTTACACAATCTACTAAGCTGCACCGTATATCTATCAATGATATTTCACAAGTCGAGTATCTTAAAGCCCCCATGTAAAGTTTGACCCACTTTGGCTTTATTGTAGTCTTACCCAACATCAAAGTGTAACACGTGAAACTTTTTTTTAATTTCAAAAAGTGGTTTTTGAAGGACTTTTTGCTCGAAAAATGGTGAATTTATTTAAAATAACTTTGAGAGGTCACGCATCTTTTGATAAGCGATAGTGCATAGTATATCATCAGGAGTTTTTTTATTCAGAAAATTGGTTCACAAATAAGAAAGAAATGAACCATCCAGGCATGAACCATCCAAACATGTGAACTTAAAGGTACATGTAATAAAGTAACATCATACTTATGTCCGATCATAAGTTCATATAATAGTTGGCTTTCAAATATTATTTGTTTGACATGTATGAGACCAATGTTAACGCTTCCAGGGGGAATCGGACATGCAGGCCTTACTATAGCCTTGCCCAAGTCGGTATATTTTTACTTATCTGATATTGAATTATTACCGCCTTGTACAATCCAATACATCTCCGCTGATATTATGCTAAGTTATTCAGCAGTTTCGAGATTTCCATAATACCTACGCTGTCAGGGGTATTGCGAAACCTTATTTATTGACAAGATCACATGGGCACGACGTGTGACTTCAGGCTGATTGACTAATCAAAACATCATCAGGTTGACCTGCATAAACAAAGCAAACAACCCGTCTACGACTTGAAATTCAATGATCTGATCGAGTGTTTCTTTAGAGTCAGGAAACCTAAACCTAACAAGTACAACATGTTATCAATTCCTGACCCTTTGAGGAGATAATGGGAAAATCTGGATATAAAGTATCAAGTTACATCTCATATCATATCTTATAGACATATTGCTCCCCCCTCCGTCCCATTTTAATTATTTTCGATTATTTTTTATACAACTTATGGAAACGTATTTTGTAAAGTCATTAAGGTCATTAATTTTATGATGATAATGTCACTTACAAATATTTATTGCAGGTTGTGTAGACCGTTGATGCTTGATTTAAAGCAAAAACATTGACTTTTGCACGTTGGTGGCGTTGCGCCTTTTTTAATAGATCTTATACCTAAGAAGAGAATCGGCTAAAAAAATTCGTAGAATACGTGACATATTTTACCATACCGTGCGCCTATTCGTTTAGCAATTTAATCATAAACCTTTTCTTGGAAAAATATTTTTGCAGATTTGTTCACTTTTCTACCAGAAATTGCTTGCTCCCCCCCTCCGTCCCATTTTCACGATCACCGGGCGTGAGAGTTACAATATATTATTTAATTAAATGTACATTGGAATGTAAGCGGTCATTAATATAAAGTAAATCATGCGATTCAATGTTGATTTAAAACTGAATTCGAAAATGCACGAAGAAAATGCACGGAGACCTAGTCCGGCCATGTAGTCGTCGATCTGATTCAGTGATTGAATCTCAGACCAGATGTTCGATCATTCGAATTCAGCGATCGTTTCAACGTTTTTTGTTGGAATCTTCTCACCTATAGGTATCCAACCGATGCTCCGGCACCCAATAAACTCTGATTGATATTTATCTGATAAAATATTTGTATTTTCATGATGAATTCGTGCAAGATTTGTTCATGAAAAGTCCCGGTGAAAAGTGTACTTGTTTTTGACCGTGCATAATAATGAGCTAACGCGTCAGGCCTGTCGTTGATTGGTCAAATTTCAACAAACATAGACATTGGGTCGGTAAAGCACGTGGCATACTCTTGGGTACAAGGCAGTCATAATAGAAATCAAGATAAGTAAAAGAGACCAACTTTGGCAAGTCTAGCCTTACTATTTACACGAGCACATGTTCTTTCTGTTTTGAAAAAGTCGATATGTGATGTATATTTCTTGGTTTTTCAAAGAAGTCTACAAATATTTCGCTACGGTTTTATCTTTACATCGTTATTTTAATCACCGCCATAATTTTTCAAACGAGTTACCTTGAAATATCAAGACGTCATGCTATTTTCATACTTATAGATCTAGAAATCAATGTGACTGTCATTGGCCATTTATTAAGCAGTGGGTGACAAAATGTTTCTACTTTCCCGGTGAATGTCGAGTTTCGCATAATACGAAATCAATGTAATTTTAGGCGATCTGTTTGCATGGGGTGTAAAACAACCTTTCCATGGTTCTGTGATTTTGGCGATGTTCCTTCGGTCGGAGCTATACGTTGGTCAACTATTTATTCAACTTTGGGTCTCTTATTGATACAGTCGCTGAGGCCTCGCTGAGGAGTACATTAAATCATCAAAACGGGATACTGAATAAGAAACTGGGTCAGAATCATCAAATACGTTGTTCAACTATATGTAAGTACATGTATCGAGAGTATTTTATTAAGAAATAAAATAAAAGGTTCACTGCTTCAGTGATTTGCAAGGGAATTTTATTCTATTATTACTCTAAAATATAGTCATAAATTTCATGCAGTGATTAGAAACCCATTTTGGCAACAGGAAGTCTTAAACCGGAAGTGTTAAAGCCTTTTAATGTTTGAATCTTTATTTTGATGATTTTTTTGAATCGTCAAACATAAACTGGTTTGAGTAGTATATGGGCGATTCAGAAGGCGAGTTCGTTTGCCAAAATATGGAGGGGTTGTATAACCTGTTGCTAACACTGTTTTATGAAATCGCTTGAGCAACCCGCTGTCATTTAGCTTAAATGTCCAAAGTAGAAATTGTTGAACCATCTAAATATAATTTGTAATGACTAAGAAAAGTTGTTCGCGGATTTTTTTTTATTTCGATGCACATATTTTGTTACTAAATCACTGATTTTTATTTGTAGTACATCTTGAAATATGAACAAATACAATAGACAAAAACCAGTTGAACTTGATATTGTTGATTATTCGGTTCCGAGTTCCATTGATTTCAATGGGTTTTCGCAATACCCTCGTGTTCATTCTTAAAAAGTGCAAAGCTTCAGTTCTAGAAAAGCTTTTACCTTGATTTTGTTTTATTTGAAAAATAATAGATTGTTATTGTAGCAATTAAGTATTAAGCATTATAGCACCAGAACATTTTATTTAGAAACAAAATTAACAATTAATTACAACATGTCAAAAATTATATTGTTGCCTTTCCAGGTTTTTGATAATTCATAGCTTAAGGAGAGATCGTAAGATGGCCTTCTTCCATCCCATAGTTATGTTATTGGTGATGCTTGGATTGACCACTGCTAAGAAAGGTGAATAAAGGGCTCGAGATATCAATTCTCAAATATATTTGTCAAGTCATTTTCATTGTAAATGTACTTCAAGTGATTTATTAATATTAAACCATCACATAACCACTGGGTAATCGTCTCAACAATACAATATAACATATTCCCAGCCTTACTAAAATAGAATTTACATATTTCAATTATAGTACGGCCAAGGCCATTTGTGTCCAAAGCACCTAGATTCTATTTGACTTTAGATTCTTGTAGGGGACCCCAAGGTATGAAAAAAGTTTGTGAACCCTTGCAAAGCAGGCTCAAAAGTGTGGAGTCAGCAAATTTTATCATTTTCGAGTCGGCGTTTGACTATATGGTAGAAACTATTTAATATCTCATTTGAGTATGTTGCAATTATAGGGTGTCCGGAAAGTAAAGATACAAATGCTCTAAGATTTACCTGTTATGAGATGAAATTGCTCTAGAATGTAGAATGACATGATCAAAATATATCCTGCAACTGTCATGACTTTCATGAAAAAGTTATGGTTGTTATGGTAATGGGAGTCGAGGGTAAGTGGAGCAACGTCACAACTGTGTTCTACAAATCTCTTTCCTGCTCATATGATCTTGGCACTCCACCATCTATTCCCATATTATATCAAATTATGTACAACCACAGCATAGGGATTAGTAGTAATGTAACATTATTTGATCATTTTATATTACTACTATCATTATATATTCAGTATTTTCCTCATTTTCTATACATTCTTGGTGCATCTTGACCTGCGATTCAAAGACCTGACAAAACCGTTGCTGTCCATCTCTCAAATTGCTGATAACATTGGCTTCCAGCTGAGTCTCATTTGTATTTTGAACTTTTTACAAATATTGCTTTCCAATGGTCATTAAGGTAGAAGTCTAAAGATGCTTTATCAGGTGAATATGGGGCATTGTATAGAAAGGTTTAATGTCAAGACACTCCATTGTAAGATTTGTTTTTTGCTTTGTGAATTGGTGCATTGTGGAGATGCAATATTGACTTTCCTACTAATGGCCAGGGACCATTCTTCTAGGCACTTGTATAATATTTCTTTCATTTTACTGGTTAGTGACATAACATAGTTCTGATAAGTAGCAATGACATAGATAGAAAATACAACAAAAAACACTGTTTCAAATGGTTGTCTTTAGAAATTCTTCACTCTTTAGCGTTGTTCTGGAACTGCTCCGCATACCTCATAACAACTGTAACTTGAACACATTTAGACTATATGTGATGAAAGTTGGTAGATATATTGTAATATTGTTCCCCTACAATCTGTAGCAATTTCATTTCAAAATACCCAAATTTCTTAAAATAAGAGTATTTGTATCTTTACTTTCCGGACACTAGACCCTGTATAATGAAACATTGTTAATATATCAATAAGGCATGTGTATAGAATTTCTGAAAGTTTGGGTCTTATCAAACAAGATTTGGTAGAGATATGGGTTCATTTGTCCCATATATAATTTCTCTTCAAAACTTTTTAATCAGTCGATAGAAATTGTATATCATTATATCATTATAAAAAATGTGTTATTCTAGAAAATCATAAAGACAAAATGTTTTCTCATAGAGCTTTGTATTGTAAATATATAAATTGGTTTTATAACCAAGAGTATTTTGATTACATAGGTCATAGCCTATCACAGAAAATAATATGTGTCTGTAGATAATGTCCGTTGTGCTTCCTCTGACTTGATCTGGTGTGTTTGAGCGTTACAATCCGCTGCCTCTAGTGAGATCGACTATCAAAACCTTTTTCGGGTTGATTGTCGAGTTCTTTGATCGTCTTCGTGATGCGTGTGCTCGAAAAGCAATATAGAGTAGACTTACAACGGTTTAAATAATCTGCACTGGACTGCAATTTAACAGATGACAGATAATGGCGAACAAATGATCAAAATTCTATATTTGAAAATATATAAAGTGTCAAAAAGTGCGATACAATACTCTCGTTTAAGCAAAAGATTTAACTGATCTATCAAATGGAAAAAATCTGCTTTTCGAACATGAAATCTGTAAGGAAGACCTAGAGATCCCAATAATCGCGATTGGATGCGACACAAGGCAGCTTAATGATGCCTGGGGCATGAACTGCTCAAAACTGAAGAAGCTGTATGAGCTTGAGTGCAAAAAATGGACACTGCTGGAGAAATCAGTATGAAAAGGTTCTGGTACATTGTGAAACGACTCAGAGAAAGAGGTAAAGGAACTTCAGCTATCAGAAACTAAAAAGGGGAAATCAGACGATGAAGATTTCTGACAAGAGGGGAAGGAGTATTTTAGCAGACTAATGTCCCCCACAATAAATGATAGCAACGACAACTAACATGAATGTCACGTGCTTAACAGAGTTGATGATGTTGTAGAAGAAAGCATGACTAATGAAGATTATTCATTTAGAGAAACCATAAGCCTTGATGAAATGGAGAAGGGGACAGTATTATTGAGTTTTTGACTGTTACTAAACCGAATCAAACAACTAGAATACATTTCTTTGAGTTTGAGACTTAGAGTCTTAGACAATCATAGAGGAATAACACTTGTTTCAACACATTTGAAAATATTAGAGAAGCTCGTGGTTAATAGGAGTATGATTGTTAAATTATATTATCAGAGGAAATGTCGTGTTTACAATAGTACAAGATCCTCGTTACAAAAAAGGTATCATTTTGTTCGTTTATCTGCAGAAATCGTGAATCTTTGTATGATGAAACAACATTGTATTGCAATAAATTTTAACTGCCCGAGCAAGTTGAAGGGCGGGTGTTACAAGAGAAAATGAGGGTAGACCCCCCTAAATTATTTGAGGGGCCAAAAAGAAAAAAAATTGTGGGCACTCTTCATAACTATGCCCAAGATGGTCAATTAATATAAGGACACCATTAATCAGGCATTTTGTTGGATATTTTGAATTAATTTGTGATTTTAAGCATTTTACTACCCTCAATTCAATTTTGAGTATATCTAATTTCAAGAATATTCCCTCATAACTTTTGTTGTAGCTCATTAATGCCTATGAAAAGAAATCACCAACCTTGCTCAAGTATGATTTGATAGAGTCGGAAAGTATGACAGTGATGTGTTAAATTAATATTGAGAGAGAAAATCCCAACAACCCTACCCCTTCTTCAACAGTGGGGTAGGGGTGAATATGAAAAAAGAGTTCATTATTTATGCAAATTCTTTTTTATCCTGCCAAAGATGGTCAATTAGTATGAAGTTCACTATTTATTAGACATTTTGCAGGATGTTTGGAATAAATTTGTGATTTAAAGCATTTTACTACCTCCAATTCAATTTTGAGTATATCTAATTTGAAGAACATTTCCTCAAGTATCACTTGGTAAGGCCAGAAAGTATGACAGCGATGTGTTAACTTAATATGGTGAGGAAAATCCCAACAGCCCCACCCCTTCTTCAACAGTGGGTGGGGGTCAATATGAAAAAATATTTTGTGAGTTCATTATTTATGAAAATTCTTTTTTATCCTGCTTAAGATGGTCAATTAGTGTGAAGTTCACTATATATTAGATATTTTGCAGGATATTTGGAATTTATTTGTGATGTTAAGCTTTTTACTACCCCCCCCCCAATGTTGTGTTTACCTATCAACAAGAATATGAATGATTTTCAAGTGTAATTCTCTCATAACTTTTGCTGTAGTTCAGGGAAGCCAATGAAAAAGTTCTCAAATTAAATTACTGGAATATCTTTTACTATATCCAGAAATTATGGCAGTGATGTATCTATATAATATGGATAAAGATCACTCCATCCCCTTCGACCCCTTGGGGTATTTAATATTGATTCATACAATGAATACATTATCCTTATTATTGCATCAACCATAAGATTTCTATTACTATTATTAAGTATGTCTATTAACATTTTGTTCATATAAAAACTGATCCTTGTAGGGGGAAGGAGGGAGAAATGTACAAAAACATGATTTTGGCTCACACAGTGAGCATATGGGATTTGACTAGTTACCATTTATAGACTATGATCTTCCAAGGTATTTTATGCTCATAGATATGTCCTCCTACATGATGGTCAATCATGATATCAATCTATCTTTTGGTGCATTTAAACACAATTGATTCATCCTTCTAGCAATTAAATAATATGGTAACAGTATTTTTATGGTAATTATGATAGACTATGAAAAAACAACAACCTAAAAATGCCATGTAATGCTACATTACGATAAAGCCACAAGCACACTCTTTTACTATTTAAGGCTGTGAGAGGAACAGTACATGTATAATTTAAGGTACATTTACGGCATATGCAAATTTCCAGGGTACTAGCATGTAGTTAGCTGTTTATTTTTCATATTAATAGATATTAGTTCTTTCTTTGTTAGAATTGATAAACATGCTAGCTCGAATCGATTAAAACAAATGTAAGAGTTTCTTTAAAATATATTCTCAGATATCCCCCATCTCTGTCTCTTATTACATAAGGGAAACATCAGTGAACCAGTTATTATGAAGTTATTTCAAGACAGTCAGGGAGAGTTTGTTAGCCCCCCTCCTCTGCCATTCCCCCCACCCCACACACACTGAAGAGGCAATATCTTTTTTCTCCATCATTAATATTTTTTTATAATTTGCAATTAACTTAGACATAAAGATTCATAGAAAAACGTTATCCCTGATTTTTCTTCACTAAATATCAACTGATATAAAATCCTTAAAGTCAATGTTAACAAAATTTGAAAATGTGTATATTAAAGGGTTAAAATATCAAATTTAGAAATGAAAAATAAACAACTACTATTATTACATGATAGTAGCAGTTATTTCATGAAAATCTGGGAAAGAGTTTGCTCAGACTATTCATTACTTTTCGTTTTACCCCCCAGGGGTGGGAGTAAAAGATACATTTTGGGACAAAAAGTGACTGAGAAACTTGCTCGGGTGGACGTTTAATTTAAAATCAAAACATTCATGAAATGTTAGTGGCTTAATTTCTCTTCACTGATTCTAACAATGAAAGATGAAGATCCTGGACTAGCCCCCTCCATCTTGCTTCTAGGCTGAATGCGAAAATATTTTTTTCTCACTTATTAATGATTGTTATAATTTGAAATTCATTGAACTTAAAAAGTGATATAAGAACTCTCTTCCTGAATTTTTTCATCAATAAATATGTAAAGCTCTTAGAATTATGACAAAATATCTTCAAAATCCATGTTACCAACATTGAGACATCACTGGACATTAAATGATTAAAATATTGATTTTGTAAGGAAATATTAATAAAAAACATTGAAAACAATTTTTCGCTAGATCTGCTGATTGTATAAACTTATTTAATGGTGGCATATGAAGAACTGTCCTCAAAATATTTTTTTGCTTTGCCCCCCTGCTATCCCCGGGGTTGGGGGTAAAACATAATTTTTGGGACAAAAAGTGACCCATGAACTTGCTCGGGTGGATGTTTTCTATTCAAACAACCAATATATTCATAAATTCACAATGGTTTAATTTCTGCAGAGATTCGAACAAAAAATAACGAAGAGCCTAGACTACAAGCTGCAAATACGGAAAAAACATCGTGCCTTCACACTTTTCTTTAATAAAAGAGGCCATTAGCCATGGGTTGAGGATTGGAGAAGACGTAATTGTGACGCCAGTCGACATCCGGAAAGCTTTTGACAGTGTGTGGCACGCAGGTCTATTGTACAAAATTAATGCTAGAATTAATGGGAAACTCTGGAGGATCTTACGTTTTAAGTTATATGGATTATACATATGATGTAGATTAGATGTTACCTTTTTGTATTTACCTGGGTGTCTACCAAGGTGGTATTGGTACTGTAGATTATAATAACTAATTGCATTGTTTTACAGAGTCTCCCTGCAATACTGGTTTTTCCATTCCCTGGAACGGTGGTTACCAGTGTATTTGTCCTCCCAACAAACAAGGCAAAAACTGTAGTGAAGGTAAGCAATTTGAAAGAGTAGAAAACCCCAATATTTTCATATTTAAATACCGGTATTTCTATTTCCTGGAACGATGGTTACCAGTGCAAATCGTCCGCCCAACAAACAAGGCAAGAATTGCAGTGAAGGTGTGTACTTTATGAGGTAGTGAACCTAACTATTGTTTCCATGGTAATTTTATCGACTGTTTTTTTTCACACATCTTTGGGTTTCAAAATACTTTTGAAATAAAATAAAGAAACCTACTTGATATTAGGCTGCCAGTTTGAATTAAGTATTTTATGCAGTTTTGAATGTTTTACAAAATTTTAAAACAAACCTTTTAAACAAATCTTTTAATGTTTCTATAATAAATACAACTTATCTTCAGATGTTCCCGATGCTGGTAATTGTACCTGGCCTGGGAATGGTAAGTCGTGTAAAGCATAATTAACCATTATTTAATTGTAGTAAAATGTGTCTGAAATATCACCTGTATGATACCTACATTTGCTTGTGTTTCTTCCTATTTAAAATCAGCAAATCAGACATGACGTATAGCATAATGTTGTGAACATATTGTAGCACTACTTAGAGCTTGCGACTATCATAAAATTTTGTTTTAAAAATGATATTATTTCTGACTCCTCTATACAGATCTCCTAAAATCCACAACATCCAAAAAGTGGAGAACAACATGTTATATGATAATGATTAAGAATATTTTTATGTCACCACCAGGGAATGCTAATTTCTGAAATTTAAGCTTTCCTCTGTTTACACGGCGTTTATAGCTACTCCATCGAATTGTGAGGAATTGTAAAGTGCGGCTTGCTCAGCGTAAGTTGCACTTATATTAATTCTGTTTGTAGAAAACGCATGTTCCTCAGCACCCTGCCATGGGGAGGACGCTATGTGCATCAACACTTTTGGCGGGAATTATAAATGCTTATGCCCACCCGGGACAAACGGCGACCGTTGTGGTGAAGGTATGGAAAAACCGAATTCTTGAAGTGAAATCATGTCTACACTGTATACAGGGCGATACAAAAATGCCACCAACATAATGTTGCATAACTTTTTTTGTCTTCGTGATATGCCATCCATCTTTTGTAACATTTTAATACTAATTCTTTTGGCTAAGGAAGTCCATTGAATTAAACAAAAGATGATATTGTCATTAATAAAATCTTTAAAGTAGTCCACTAGCATAGCTCAGGGATAACGCGTGTATTTATTAACCAATAGGTCCCGGATTTGATTCCCAGTTCAGGCAACACTTAATTTGTTTGCGTAAAGTACTTCAGGGTGTTTGACTGAGTGGTCCACAACTCTAACAAAAAGCCATGGTCTTTACTTCTATGACTGTGTATGAGTTCAAATAAAAGAACACAAGGGTATTTTAAGGAGGCGTTCTTGGGTCTGCCTTTCAGGCTTTATGATACCCTGCGTGCAGAGTCTAGTTAAACTACAAGACGAAGCTCTCTTTTAAGAAGTGAAGTCAAACGAATGCAAAGGGTAGCTTTATGAAAGCAGCAGAATTTGAAAATATCAATTATCGTAAATTTGCCCAAACACGGGATATACCAAAGAGGTATTGATCACCCACATAGATTGTAAACAAAATGCAATGCAAAATAAAAAACAGCAACAATCAGACAATAGTTTGCAAAATCATGTTGCAAAAGGCTGGAGGCCTTTTTGTTTAGAATCTAGTGTGCCTGCAGGAGAATAGACGACACATCTTTTAACTCTCATACAGGTGCATCTAGTTGAGCTAGTAGCTCTGAAACTGAAATAATTTCAATATTCTGAAGTTCAACTCAACAATCCATGCAGACAAAAAGGTTATGCAACATTATGTGGGTGGCCTTTTTGTGTCATGCTGCACTAGTTACATTCACGTTCAAATTACAAGCGTTGGAATTGAATAATGTTGAAGGATTTCAGATATTTTAATGTGTTGTGAAAAGTGTTTAATTTCTATATCAATGAAAATCTATTAACAGAGCCTGATCATATATTCATTTTTCAAATAAACCGAGGGTTGACCCAAAACAGTATTGAAATTGGCGATGAGTGACTAAAATGTTTTCGTTTATGCAAGAGGAGACTTCAAACTTCCTTATTGATTTTGTTATTTCATCACTAGGAACGTACTGCTTTCCATGTGCAAGTAAAAGATGGAGGAACGTCACATGTCCTGTGTTCAACGACAAGCCATTCTTGACATCGATGTCTGTGCAAGAAGTAACACTCAATACCCAGATATCAAGGTAGGGTCAGTTTATCTTGTTTCTTTATTTTCATATCTTTAAATTACAATAGTAATGGAGATAACAGAAAGTCATAAAAAGTTTAGTTTTCTGATTTTCGTTTTAATGATTACATCACACCTCCATGGCCACCCCGTTTAATATTTCCTTACTTCTTGTCAAATGTGATATAATTTCGTAAATTCAGCATGAGAGTTATAAAACACGATTTTTCGTTGCTCAACTTATTCCAGACTCCCGTTACCAACAACCATAACCTTATAATTTTGAGACAATATCTCAATAGTAATTTCATCTCACAATAGGATGAATCTCTTGATATCAGAGCATATTAATTTACCCTTAAGATTACCTGTATGTTACAGTAAAAGACAAATTGAGCTTAAAATTTAAAACTATATCTGCACAAACTAATACCATAGGTTTATTTTTTGGACAACCTGTATATTTCAGGACACGATGTACGATGAACGACAAGTGGAGATTCGATTATAGTACAGGGACCATGTGGGTAGCCAAAGGTTGTAGGGGCGAGTTTTGTGTGCATTTCAAAGAAGCTGAACCAAGTACAATAACTGCATCAGACACAACAACTGGACCAGGTACAACAACTGGACCAAGTACAACAACTGGACAAGGTACAACAACTGGACCAAGTACAACAACTGGACCAGGTACAACAACTGGACCAGGTACAACAACTGGACAAGGTACAACAACTGGACCAAGTACAACAACTGGGCAAGGTACAACAACTGGACCAGGTACAACAACAGGACAAGGTACAACAACTGGACCAAGTACAGCAACTGGACAAGGTACAACAACTGGACAAGGTACAACAGCTGGACCAAGTACAACAACTGGACAAGGTACAACAACTGGACAAGGTACAACAACTGGACAAGGAACAACAACTGGACCAAGTACAACAGCTGGACAAGGTACAACAAGTGGACCAAGTACAACAACTGGACACGGTACAACAAGTGGACCAAGTACAACAACTGGACAAGGTACAACAACTGGACCAACTACTACAACAACTGCTGGCAGTGTCCCATGTGAAAGTCTCAAATTGTCTGGGTTGTCACGGTCCTCCAATCAACTATATCGAACTGGGATCTTCAAGCTGCAATCGAATTTTTGGAACGAACGACCAGTTTACAAACACCTATGGGATCTAGAGTTTTTGTTCTATGAAGATGGAGCCTGGCTTATAGGATCAACGATAGGAGAAACTCAATCAGGAATTCGTGTAATCAGTTCAGCTCTGGAACCACAAGACGTGATGGAAGTTTGGGATTCTTGGGATGGTAGCGCTTGGGTAGCTGAGCCAAGTCTGATTGCATCGTGTTCAGCTATATGTGACACGATTTGGTTGAGTGGTGTTTCATGGAATGGACCACACGCCTACCTATTAGGAGCTTATAGTATTTCAAATAATGATTCAAATGGAGCACCGATCTACAAGAAACAAGATGGCGCAAACAGTAGTGAAATAACAATTAGAATGTCTGATGGCAACAAATGGAGCATTAAAACAGAGAATGAGACATTAACCACAGAGTTTACAACAGCCATCACAAACCCAGTTGAAATAAATAACACATGGACTGTGTCATCTGGTACAATAGTCCTGGATTGCTACTTTGGTAAGTACAAGGAAATTGTAAGAAACAATATAAAAAAGTGTGGGCATATTCTTACTCGATTGTTTCAACCATATACAATGCGCAACTATAACTATTATTCCATTAGAATATATATTTCAATTTGTGGAATAAAATACTTATTGAATTTGAAAACAGGGAAAATATCAATGGAGGTAATAAAGAATCGTCATTGTTCAGTTCATTGATAAGACTGATTTCTTTCTTCTCTGTAGGTCAAGAAGGAATTTGTAGTGAGGTTCTGTTAGATGGTAGTTCTATTCAAAGGAAAAGACAGGGTATCTTTTCACTTTATGGTCCTCTTCTCAATGGAAGGCCTGTCTATATTCACGAACGTGGAGACACCTTCCTTGATTACATAATCATGGACAAGCAAAGAAGGTTCTGGCTCGTTTCTGACAATATTAACTCCAGTTCTGGAGGGATTCGTGTTTATGACTCAGCGTTGTCGGCAGATGGCATAACTCGGACATGGGAAACATATGACTCACAAGATGGCTGGGTGAAAGAAACTAAAATGGGAGCAGCATGTATTACAAGTATGTAGTTTCTGATCTACTTCTGCGAAGATCTAATCAGTTTAGAGATACTTATTCTCTATCTGAAATCTAATTGGTCAGATCATGATCATTATTGCATCAACTATAACCAATTAACAAGAACATTATTTAGTCTTACGTCGCAATTTCCTCGGAAGAAACAATTATAAATTCCTTTGTTGGAAGGATTCCTCCTAATTGCCCCTTCAGTATCAATCCAACTAAGTTCTAACCTAGGCATATTTTAATCAAGCTAATTTACACATTGTTTCTCTTTCTAATCTTTTTGTCTTCCTTTATGGCACACGGGCTTAAATATAGTAATTGTGTCATTACATTTTAGATAACACCGTCCCTAGCGAAACGTTATACATGGGGGGTGTGGTCACATCGTCAACTCCACAAACTCAAAGGTTAGGATTTTACACGAAACACAGAGACTATCACAATTCGAGACCAGTATATATTCACGAATCAGGCAAATATGCTCTGTACTACCTACTATCTAGAGGATATTGGGGTATTGTCAAGGCAACTGGTACGGCCAGTCTCTATATGGCGATATATTCAGCATCCCTTCTTCCTCAAGAGATAACTGTGCCACTATATGGATGGGTTTCTGGTTGGACATTGATGGATAACATCACCATGTCTAGCTATACAAACACAGGTAAACAGATATGTCACGCCCGGTGATCGTGAAAATGGGACAGAGGGGGGAAGGGGGAGCAAGCAATTTCTGCTAGAAAATTCAACAAATCTGGAAGATTTATTTTTTCAAGAAAAAGTATTACAGCATAAAATTCTGCATATAAAACGTTTGCGGATACCTGAAGTTAGGATATATATTGTGGTAAGCAATATAAATTACTTAAATTTACATTAAGTTAAGTGACAGCAATTTCATGACCAAATTTATCAAGCTTCCTCTCAAGTTTTCCAAAAATCACGTCTTAATCGTTTGAAAAAACATGTCCGGGACAACCGTAAGTTCTCTAAATAAATAATTATTTGAAGTAAACATTTTATTGTACAAATAGTGACTGCCATTGAGGGAAATAGTGCAAAATATTTTCCTCAAGGGAATATCCTGTCCACTGACATGTTCCCGAGGCTGCAGGCCGAGGGAACAAGTCAGTGGACAGGATATTCCCAAGAGGAAAATTTTTACACTATTTCCCGAAAATGTGGCAGTCACTATTTGTTTTATTATATACCTGATAAGTACTCTGTAAACAAAACAAAATGAGAAGTCTTTTCATTTCAATATCAAATGTTCACAGGTTCTTATTGGCATTTAAATGCATTTTACCTTCCAACTCCTATAATCTCAGATTTGGGGGAAGATAAAATGTACTATTGACTGGTCACATGACCTAACTGGTGATTAGTACAATTCATCTTCCCTGAAAGCAGGGATTTAGGACTTTCCAGGGAATTAGTTCATCTATTCCATGTCATGTGACCATGAATAAGCCAATGAGCATCTAGAATACATTTGAGGTATATAATAATATAGGCTATTTTATATTTGATTTTAAAAACACACATTCATCTCATATTGGTTTTAAAACCATTAAAAGGACTTGTAGGAAATGTGGTATAAATACTGAATAGCACATCATTATGAGTTTTATCATTCACAACTGAGCGGAGCGAATGAGTGTGAATATTTGATATCTAAGAGGCGATAAAATATCACGAGAAATGATCTGATACTGGGTTTATCCCTTGATTACAATGATCAGTATTCCAGACAATTCTTGCAGTGAGCAGTTTGCACTACTTTCTCTATATCACAGTGTATATGATATACAGTTCTTCATAAATACTTATTTAATCGTTATTTAGCAGCATCCTTATCAAACTACATACACAATATTAATGTAATACATCAATGTAACTTCAACAGAATAAATTGTCTGGCCTATTTTCCATCTGTATCGTGGCGCAAAATTCAAAGGAGGAGGGAAGTTAGCGCAACAGATTTTGGACAGTCATATGTTTGATTTTGGCCATTTTCTGAGGATTTAAACAATTGCATATGTTAGGCCAATGCATTACCTCCAGGAAAATCACTTCTAGAGATGATAACATAATTTCGACTTTGAGACTGGGAAGATGCAAACAACCCACCCACATGTTTTTTCTGAAATGTTTTCCTAATTTTCGACCCCTTCCATCCCTGCTTTTTTAATTTTTCTTGCATCAATATGTTGCATTTTGACACATAGTTAACCACTTTAAAGGAATAAGTGATTCCTTAAGGGGTTTTAAGGATACCCATTATGGGTGATCAAACTTAGCTGAAAGCAATGATTTTTCCTATGGGAAAATAACATGGGAAATATTGTTTTCCACTTTATCTAAAAGGAATCATTTATTCCTTTTAAGAGATTAACTGTGTGTCAAAATGCAACGCATTGATGCAAGAAAAATTAAAAAAGCAAGGATGGAAGGGGTTGAAAATCAGGAAAACATTTCAGAAAAACATGTGGTTGGGTTGTTTGCATCTACCTGTCTCAGAGTCGAAATTATTTTATCATCTCTAGAAGTGATTTTCCTGGAGGTAATGAATTCGCCTAACATATGCAACTGTTTAAATCCCAAGGAAATGGCCAAAATCAAACATATGACTGTCCAAAATCTGTTGCGCTAACTTCCCTCCTCCTTTGTTTATCACAGGAATATGTGTGTAATAAACTATATCAACCGCATATGAGTTTGATAAATTATTTTCTGGAAAATATCACACGGATTTCAATAATAATAAATATATGACTAGCTGTTATTGTACAGATACACGTAACACATTAACAGTGGGAAAATAAGGAATACGTCAATCAGGATACCCATTAGTGAACAGTTTTGTGCAACATCTGATTTATCTCATTTCTATTATTTTCTTAGGTGACGAGTCTTGTCGTAAGCTCAATCTATCTGGCATGAAGCGTGATTCGTTAAATGGTCTTTATGAGAATAATGACCAAGACGTTGGGAAGAGACCGAGCTACAAACACTCTGATGGGCCTTACAACCTGTACTTTAGACAATCGCATGCGCAATGGGTTATCGGACAAGACCCTATTCAATCTTCCTTTTACGCTTATACATTTAACCCAGCTGTGGACCCAACCGATATTAGTACGAATATTTGGAGGCGATGGGATGGTAGTGATTGGATAGACCAGCCTGATGTAGTGTGGAGCTGTCAGGATGGTAAAACTTATGATCATATTTATATCCTAACGCTGTAACATTCATTTAAAAAATGCCTTCTTTAATGTTTCAACAATGGTATAATAATGTACGATACATTTTCAGTAACAACTACAAGTACTACATCTATTGGACCAAGTAAAACCATTTCGTCAGTATTAAAGGAACAAAATTTTAATAAGTTCCTCCTGGTGAAGCTCCATTATTTTAAATATATTGTATTGATAGATTTATAGCCTTGCCCATGTCGGTATTTTTTTTTTTACTTATCTGATCTTGAATTAATAGAAATCAAGATAAGTAAAAGAGACCGACTTGGGCAAGGCTAGTAGATTTAATATCACTGAACATATTTTTGCTTGTTGAGCATCACACAACTATACCGTTTATTATTTATGTGGATTTATGCAGGGATCATTTTTCAAAAGAATTGTTTTATATTTAAATATAAGTAAAAATATTATAAATGCTTTGCATCAACATTTTGTATGATTTCAACTGAAAAAAGGAGCAAAATTGACTCCAAACTCACAGTAGATGGTATAACTCATCAAACACTATTTGATTTTTTAAATTTATTGTTAAAGTCTAACAATTTAAGTTAGTCTATATTCGTTATAACTACATCGTTGACTATTTCTAAATTTATTGAGCATCAAACAATTTAACAGTTTTTCATTAATTTGAGAACTCAGTAGGGGTCTAATTTACAAAATCATCAATTATAAATGAATAAACGCAATGAGCACACGCGTCTCCAACTCGCAACCTTATGGTTATGGCGCCCAGTCGATAAAAAACATTACAAAAATATAAAAGCATAATAGATTATTCTAGAGCAATACTAAGAAAATACTTGGCATTGACCTTGGAAGGATGGTTAAGCTTTTCAAAGTTCACATCTTCTATTGTTATTATTTTTCTTTGTCTCCATTGATCTAACAGATCTAACTCGCTTGACACATCGTAATTAGCGGTGTAAGTGCGCTTGGATGAGCTCTTTTTGTTGAAAACGTGTGAACATGTAATATGCATCGTAGGGGCTTATTTTTCATGAAACCTAGAGAGGAATGGAATGGCACTGTGGGCAGTTCAAAAACGCAGCCTTAATTTGCTTGTTGGCATAAATTACTTCGAATTCAGAGTGTTTGACTGAGTGGTCCATAACTCGTAAAACAGGGCCGGTGTGTACTTGTATGACTAGGCTATGTATGAGTGCACATAAAAGGACACAGGGCTCACCCAAGGAAGGGTTCCTGGGTCTGCCTTCCATGATTATGATTTTCTCGGGTTTTGGTCTGTAGTTTGGACTACTATATCAATGCATAATTACATTCTATTTTCAGATGTTATAGTGAACTAGGATTAACAGCAGTTCCGATTACTATTACAGCACCAACAAAACAGACATTTCGGACGCAACAGCAGTGACTAATCCATTGATTGACGCAATGTGACAATTTAACTCCTATATATGTGTAACCTTATACATTTAGACAGGGTGACAGTCAAATTTGGAATAAACTGTTTCTCGGGTACGTTGAATTACGTTTGATAAAAGTTATTTTAGTAGTCACGGTGGCATTTTCTATTAAACATTAATACTAGAGTAAGTATGAATCTAAAAGGAGACATGAAGATTGCTTTACCTGCCGATGCTATTTTCTGGTACAAAATAAAGTATGAGGACATTTGCTCATTTTATTCATGAACGTATTCTTGTATTTTGATGTGATTGTGATGTTATCATGTTGTCAAGTACCAAAAATAGACATTTGGAAAAGCCATTCAATCAAGATGGCTGCCTTTTGAAAAAAGCCATTCAATCAAGATGGCTGCCTTTTGAATTTCCCAAAGGATAAGTCAGGATACTGTATATGCCCTTTTGGTCCCTAACTAAAAATTTTTGTGAAATATGTTTTTTACTTTATTACGTTCTCTCCAAGTTATGAAATTTGATGCATAATGAACCCACTGCCGAGAGTTGAAATAAGTATCCTCACAAATAACAGTCATTATCATAGAAAAAACACAAATAACAACACGTATGACATGTAAAGTAGAAATGACTATAAAGACCCATGAAGAGTTGAAAAAAAAATTGAGATATATTTGTAACAGTTTGAGATATATTTTTAACGGTTTGCTTATTTTAAATTGCATTGCTATAAATCGTACGCAACATATACGCACTGTAATTACCTATGAAATCTAGCAATACAATAATGAACTTATTTGTCCAGTTTGTTCGGAACCTATTGTTATCAAACCTACTGCAAAGTAACACAATTATAATATCTCAGGACGCCTATAAGATGATATGTCTACCCTGATTTTCAGATTCACTTTAAGCATAATGTGAGTTTACAAAATTATTTAGATATTTAACATAAATTTAAAGCTGAGGTGCACAAAGCTAAAAGAGAATATACTATTACTAATCTTATAAAACACAACGTATAGTACAAAGGTTCTTAGCAAATCATGATGATCACTGTAATGCTTGTATTCAAAATGATCCTGAAATTCTGAATAATGAATTAACATTTGATGAAATATATAACTGCATAAAATTGTTACCAAATGGAAAATCCTGTGCTAATGATGGTCTTGTAAATGAAACGTTAAAGAAATGTAGCAACAAGGTCACACAAGACTTGTTAAGTTATTTAACAAAACGTCGTGTGAGTGTGATTACCCACAAAGGTGGTGTGATGTAATTCTATGTACATCGTATAAAGGTGGTTATAAAGATGATGAAAACAATTTTAGGGGTATTTCATTAGTATAGGTATTTTAGGTAAGGTCTATACAAAAGTGATAAACGACAGGATATTACAATTTTGTCTAGATAATGGCTTATTTTATGAAGATCAAGCAGGGCACAGAACTGGATACAGTACTGTTGATCAAATTTTACATTTATCAGCTATTGTACAAAAGTATTTATCTAAGAAAGGAGGGCGTTGATATATTCTGTAAAGCATTTGATTCCATTTCTCATGTTAATTGTATTATGGTTTCAATTGATCAAAAACTGTAATATGCATGGCAATACTATAAAGGTGATAAGATATATGTATGAAAAGTTAAGGTCATGTGTAAGAGTTCCAAAATCTTCTGAGACATTTTGTAACACATAAAAACAGAGTATTTTGCATGTTCTGTTGGCACACGACAGGGCTGTATGCTTAGCCCACAGCTATTTATTTTGTATTAAAATCAGTTAATATCAATGATGAAAGCAAATTGTAATGGAATATATTGAAACGAAATCATAATAATGTTGTTATGCTGCTATGTGCTGATGATATAGCCAATGTCTCTGATACTGTTGGTAGATTGCTAGTTAAAATTAGAATTCTTGAGCAGTTTTGGGGTATGAAAGTTAATAAGGGCAAAACAAAAATATTAATTAATGGTATGTCAAAATGGAGGTGTGTGGTACCTTGGAAATACTATAGTAGAAACTACACCATACTATACATACCTGGGTTTATTATTTTCTTCAAGATTAAGTTGGTCACCAGCTAAAAGAAATTTAGCATCGCAAGCTAGAAAGGCAATTTTCAACATTATATTTTTGAAAGAGAGCGTGCTCGGTTCTGTAAATATGTTTTATGTTAGGTGAAAAGGCAAATGATGTATGTGCATTGGTGAATGTGGTAGGCATCCTCTAAACATTGTATATATGAATTATTGTATAAAATATTGGCTAAACCTTCTTAAAATGCCGGATGAAAGATTACCGATAGCTTCCTATAAAATGTTATATCAATATCCCAGATGCGAGTAGAAATAATCTTGATTTTCGTCATTAAAAATTCACAATTCAGTCAAACTGATGTCATATTTGGAATCTACATGTAACAAGGTTTTGAAAAGAGTTTATCAACTTTGAAAATATAATTTTCTTTGAAAATGTGACTTCTAGGTCAGGGAGATTCCTCATAGACCCCATGTTGTAAAACCACAAAAAGTGAAATATCTTTTCTTGTGTTGGGCAGATAATATTTTCTTTAACTGGAAATATTTTAATTTGTATAACTATCAGATACATAAGGGTAATATTAAAAGTGAACCACTAGAACTGATGCATATTTAAGGAATAAAGACCTCGATTCTATGATTTAAGGCGCAATATATGACCGAAAATTTTATTCTGTTCATTGTTAAAAGACCGAAATCGCGTAGCGATTGAGGTCTTTGGCAATGGGCAGAATAAAAGTTGAGGTAGGATAACTTGGGCAACACATGTTAAAACCATATTGAGTTCTATGGGCTTTGGAATTATTTACACCGACCAAAGTGTCGGAGATGAAAACCCCTTTTCTTAAAATATTTTTGCAAAGAATAAAAGATGTCAATTTACAAGCATGGTCAGGATCATTATAAGCTTCAAATAGATTGGAATCATACAGTGATTTCAAAAGTACATTAGAAGTCGAAACATATTGATCAGTTGTAAATATTGTCAAATATAGAAGAGCTTTAACAAGGTTAAGATGTTCCAATCGTAAACTGAAAATTGAAATTGGTAGACATCAAAATAGGTCAAAAGAGGATCGCATATGCCCTCTTTGTGAATTATACCAAGGTATACATATTTTGGAGGATGAAATTAATATTATTTTAATCTGCCCATCATATATTGATCTAAGGGAAGAGTACATCAAAAGGTATTATTATATTTTACCATAACAACAGTAGTAAGTATATTAATTTACTGTCTACAAAAGGTGTAAATGATTTATGTAACTTAGCTACTTTCTGCTATAAAGCATTTAATTTAAGGCAGGAGCTACTAAATTGATATAAAACATGTATTGTTATATTTATAAAACTAAGAGCCTGAGCTCTTTTATTTGTTTGAAATAAACTAAACTTAACTAAACTAAACTATATGCAAACGGAGATTCTGTTGATTTTGCCCAGCCTGGACGAAAAGCTATATTCTACTCATATGCCTTAAACACGTCTAAGTATGGGATAAACTTAAC